CAAATCCTTAAGTAATCGATTCATAGTTCGGTTTTTAATACCGCATGACATTAACGATTACATGATATTGACTCAAATCCCATTTTGCTTGTAGATGTCGAAAACAAAGAACCTCGAGTTTTCTGCACTCAACGTTTCCGGCGACAATTACTTACAATGGGCATTGGACGTTAAGATAGCCCTTGAATCCAAAAATCTCGCCGAGTGCATCATGGAAAACAACGAGTGTGAGAAGAGGTCAAAGTTTAAGGCGATTGCGTTTATACACCATCACCTAGCAGAAAGCCTTAAGAATCAGTACCTTACTATCGAGGATCCTCTCGACCTTTGGGTCGAGTTGAAAAATCGATATGATCACCAAAAGACGGTACTCTTACCGAAAGCCCACTATGATTGGAAAAGCCTCAGGATCCAGGATTTCAAATCCGTGGAGGAGTATAACTCCGAGCTTTTTAAGATTGTCTCAATCCTGAGGCTATGTGGTGAAAAGGTGACTGATAATGACTTGCTTGAGAAAACATACTCAACATTCCACCCTAATAATGTGGTACTTCAGCAACAATACCGTGGAATGAAATTCAAAACGTATGCAAGTTTGATCTCCTGCTTACTCCTTGCTGAAAAGAATAATGAGCTATTGCTGATGAATAGCTCAATAAGACCTCCAGGGAGCACACCGTTGCCGGAAGCCCATAAGGCCGAAATAGCCGAAATAGCCAAAGAGCCCCGAGAGACCAAAGAAACCAACTACGTCCATAGAGGGTATCACGGTCATGGCCGTGGTAGAGGGCGTGGTGGTGGTCGCAGCAACCATAACTCCTACGGCCGAGGAAACCACCATGGTGGTAGAGGCCGTGGGAACAATGGTCGGGGTCGTGGCCGCGGAATCTTCAAACCGCAACACAAGGCTAAGTCCGTTTGCCATAGATGCGGAATGGACAATCATTGGGCTAAGACGTGCAGAACATCCAAACATCTAATTGATGCTTATCAAGAAATGATAAAGAAGAATCCCGAAGCCAATTTGGCTCATCTCGATGGCGATGGAGATTTCGACCATGAGAAAGATGACCAATTGGAGTATGAGACTTCGGATCTCTTAAGAGAGGAAAATTAAATTCGACATCTTGTGCTTTAATTTATTTTATGCTTTAATTTGCTTTATGTTTTCATGCTCTATGTCATTGAATTCTATTATGTCTTGGATTTAATTTTAAGTTTAATTTGCTTTTAATATAATCGTTTGCTTTATTATCTAAGACATATTTCTTGTCAAATATTAGAAATGGCCGATGACAAGAACATACTTGTGGTGGATAGTGGATCGAGCCACACCATTTTAAAAGACAAAAGATACTTCATAAATCTAACATTGAAAAATGCCAATATTAGCACCATAGCGGGTATAGCTAGTCTTATTGAGGGCCACGGTCAAGCCCATATCCTTTTATCAAAGGGCACGCATCTTGAAATAAGCGATGCCCTATACTCACCCGGCTCAAAGAGGAGCTTACTAAGTTTCAAAGATATAAGATTGAATGGTTTCCATATTGAAACAAAGGGTGAAGGGAACAAAGAATTCCTAAATATAATTGAGATCACCAAAGGACATAAGAAAGTCCTAGAGACTATACCCGCATTATCCACTGGTCTCTACTATGCTAAAATCGATATGATCGAAGCTAATATGGCAATGAACAAAGAGTTCATCGAGGAATTCACTTTATGGCATGACCGGCTTGGCCATCCGGGTCAAAATATGATGCGTAAATTAATGACTAATTCAAAGGGGCACACCCTAAAAGAGAAAAGAGTTATCCCTAAGAATCTCACGTGTGAAGCATGTTCACAAGGGAAACTTATCATAAGGCCATCACCGGCTAAGGTAAATAAAGAGACTTTAAATTTTCTGGAAAGGATACAAGGAGATATATGCGGACCAATACACCCACCATGTGGGACGTTTAGATACTTTATGGTTCTCATTGACGCATCGACAAGATGGTCGCATGTGTGTCTCCTATCCACTAGAAACCAAGCCTTTGCTAGGTTATTGGCCCAGATAATAAGACTGAGAGCCCACTTTCCAGATTTTCCGCTTAAGACTATACGTCTAGACAATGCCGGTGAATTCACGTCCCAAGCGTTTAATGACTACTGTATGTCCATGGGGGTAAGTGTGGAACATCCTGTAGCGCATGTACATACACAGAACGGATTAGCGGAATCCTTCATTAAACGAATTCAATTGATAGCTCGACCATTACTCATGAGGTCAAGGCTTCCAGTAGCCGCTTGGGGACACGCTGTTTTACATTCTTCAGAACTCATACGCATAAGGCCATCTAGTGAACATAAATATTCACCATCCCAATTACTCATGGGTCATGAGCCAGACATATCCCATCTAAAGACTTTCGGGTGTGCCGTATATGTACCGATTGCACCACCACATAGAACAAAGATGGGACCTCAAAGGAGGATGGGAATATATGTTGGA